TCAGGAACACACCACCAGAACCTTGTAACAGATTCTCAATGACAGCACTGTGACTGGGGTAGTATTTCGAATGACCAGCAAAATCATGAAGAATGATGCTACCCAGTGTCCTGTGTTGTAGTTTATAAGGAATGATGCCAGCAGTACAGGGTACTACCTCTTTAACATTTCTAAAGGAACCAAGAACAATAGAACTAGTAGCTGTGTTCTTGATGACGTGACTAAGAGTACTTTTACCAGCTCCAGGATTACCCACAAGGAGGACATTAACATAAGAATCAATTGGATGAGATGATTTTATATCACCAAACTTCTTAAAGACAGAAAGAATATCAATGCGACCATTCTCCTTAGCTAGTTTAAATGGTGTGTAGCCGTTATTGTCTTTAGCCAATGGATCACATTTACCAGTTGATAGTAAATATTCAACAGTTGCAGAACTACCATAAACAGCAGCCCAGAGAAGAAGTGTCCACCCGATCCCGTCAACAGCCAATGGATCACAGTGACACTCATCAATGAGATATCTCATCATATCAACTTGATTATCTCGTACAGCCCAATGAAGGCAAGTACAATCCAGACCATCTCTTTCTTGTGGGTCACAGTGATATTTAGTGATGAGATCTTTTGTAACATCTAACCAGCCATTCCTTGAAGACAAATGAAGTAAACTAACATCCTCCCACTGAATGTATCCTTTAATTATATTCGGTTCCTCCACTAATGGTAGTAAGCTAACAGCTTCTTTATGATCTCTATTATAAAACGCAGTCCAACACTTGTCCTCTAACGACATCTTGTGATCAGTTAGACCTAATTAGATTCATTGATACCCGCCCACACACAGACCAGGAATTCATTGTAAAATACCGGGGTAATTCATTGTTTTATAAAATTTTATAAAAAAGAATAATTTTTAATCTCAATCATTTAAATCATGATCCATTATGTGAAGCAATTCTACTAGTTCCATCTCTTAGATTTCCTTCAGTTTGGATACCACATAGTCCTTTTCTGATTTTTTTTTTTCCAGTGAATAGCAACACAACCTTTTTTCCAGTAAATAGCAACACAACAAATGTAAAAAATTAAGGGGGTGTATTTTTTTATAGCATTGCGGCTCTGCCCCCAGCCATGTTATCATCATACAGATGAGGTTATTTACTTCACTTTCAAAATAGTTAGATGATCTTACTGCTTGGACATACAGACTCACTTCATCAGTATAGGGCTTTGCCTAATTAACAGTAATAAAGCTTTATATTTCAGTGGGCTAGCTGCACTCCAATTATTTGAAATCAAATTACAACTTGAAACATGAACAGTCATAGGTAGCTTTAAATTCCAGTCATTGTTCAACTCACGTACTCTACTCTTCTTTAAGGGGCTGTGACCCAATTATTTCATTTATAGTATTATTTGGGAAACAGGTATAGCTTTAAATCCCAGTCCTTGTCAAGCTCACTACAGTCTAGTAAAATGTCAAAGATGTTCATCTTTATGTTGTTGTTGCTGTGTATAATAGCTACCATTGATGAAGGAGAAGGATCAGTTACGGCTAGTATTGAATATAAACATGAACCATCACTGTATCTAAGAATATGCTGTATAGTAACTTAGAACAGAATGTTGCTATCAAAGGAATTGGTATAACAAGATATATTTTATGTCCTAAAGTACGACCAAAGTCATGCCCATTAGGTACTGTATATATATCTCAAATAGTTCATGATGTACTTATTGTAGATAACAGAGACTGTAAGAGCTTGTTTCAGACTGGTTTTGATATAAGTGGTGTTTATACTGTTAATCCTGATGGAGGGACTCCATTTGAAGTTAGTTAAAAGTAATTTATAATTATACACTATTGGATCACAGGTATACTGTGATATGGAGACTGATGGTGGTG